TGCAATTACCTCCTGTACTTGCGCAACTGTTCCTGATGCCTATTAGCTCTTAGGTGCCGGGCATCCAGGAACAACTCACTACTGGCATCCGAATCACTCTCCCTTGTCTCCTCCCCACTGGTCCAAGGCTCAGGTGCCTCCTGGTGGCCAACCAGTCTCTCTGCGCCCTGCTCGGAGTTGGAACCCTGGGAGGGTCCTCCACATCCTCCAGAGCCGACTCATAAGGCCCCTCACTGTCGGAGTCTGGTGGCAGCTCCAAAGGCTCCTGCTGGGCCACAACAGCTAATTATACAATCCACTGTTTTACAAACCTGGAATTTTATGCCAAGTTTTTTTAACAGATCCACTGTTTCCTCCAGGTCTTTCATGCCAAGTTTCACTAACGAGGCAACTCCTGTCTTTTGCTTCACCATAGTATTCAACAACGGGGTTAGATCTTGCAGCTCCCCTTTTTGCTCAATAAATCTGTAAAGTCGAACAAGCTGAAAAGACACATAAATATGAATGGGTGCATGCTGGAGTTCTGAACTAAAAGTGCAAAAGCCACCTTAACTTTTGTATTATTTAACTATTAAGTATTAATTATTTGACTTCAGTTTTTTTTTAAAAAAACTGTGACATATACAGGTAGTCCTTGATTTACAACAGTTCATTTAGTGACCAAAGTTACAATGGCACATAAAAAAAGTGACGTATGACCATTTTTTACACTGATGACAGTTGTAGCATCCTCATGGTCATGTGATCAAAATTCAGATGCTTGGCAACTGACTTATACTTATGACAGTTGCAGTCTCCTGGACTGCATATGATCACCTTTTGCAATCTTCCGATGAGCATTGGGTTTAGTAGTTAACTAGATAACCCATGATTTGTTGGCCATTCTTTCAATGGGGAAGCCAGATTCACTTAACAACTGTGGGCAGAAAGATCATAAAAGGGGGAAAAATTCACCTAACAAATGTCTCACTCAAGAACAGAAATGTTGGGCTCAATTGTGGTTGTTGAGGACTACTGGGTAATTCAAAGAAAACCATTGGAAAGACTCTTCTTTGCTCTTCACCTCTTTATTGTAAAATAGCTGGCAGGAGAGGAGGTGGTGAGGTGAGACAATACATTTGTAAAATAAGCGGGTACACAATCTTCTACTAATTTAAAGAACTACTTGATTTATTTGTTCCCACAAAATAGCTATGAATTCTATCTGCACTCTGCCCATTAATCCATCTCAGTTGAGACATCAGAAGTCCTGTGCCTCATCTGACAATAGAGAAAAAGAAAAAGTTAACTATGTTTTCAGACAAATAGAAATATTTGGCCAATTTAACCTTTTGATAGTTTGTGTGGAATACAAAAAAAATTGAAAACATTGGGTTTAGTAATTAACTAGATAACCCATGATTTGTTAGGCCCGTGATGGTGAACCTATGGCACTTGTGCCACAAGTGCATGCAGAGCCCTCTCTAAGGGCATGCCAGCCATCGCCCCAACCCAGCTCTGCTGCGCATGCGTGTGCCTCCCATTGGCCAGTTGGTCTTTGGGTCTCTGCCGTGCATGTGCAGTGGGTGGGGCACATGTGCAGGAGGCACTCACATTGCATTGTGGGAGTTTGCGCCCCATTTGGGGCCTGGAAAGCTGCTGCACCAGCCTGGAAGCAGAAAATGGGCGAGGGGGGGTGCGGGGTGCATGTGCAGGGGTCACTCGCATTGCATTTGGGGGGGTTCACATGTGTGCATGCTTTGGGCATGGCACAAAAAGGTTAGCCATCACTGTGTTAGGCCATTCTTTCAGAAGTATTTCTTTACTAGATTCCTTGACGCTCTTAGACAGAACTTCTAATATAACTGCCTTCACTGGAAATGGTGGGATACTTCAGAGATGTATCTGGGCCTTGAAAGTAGTCCAGGTTGAATTGAATTATAACACAATCGATCATCAGCATAGGAAATGTTGTATGACATTTTGTATCTTGTCATAAAGCGTTTTATGATAATTTTAATGTTTACAATTATAAAATGTTTCACAAAACTCATCAAATTTAAATTTCATGAGAGACATGGACCTCAGATTTTGGACACATTCTGTAAGTTAGTCCATTTGAGGTACCTTGGTTTAAAAATTGTTACCCTATTATGCACCATTTTGCCCACTTAAAGGTTACGGGAATGAGAGTTTCAGTAGTGTATGGACTAATCAAAGAGAGATTGCAAGACTGATGAATGGGACTTAAACAATGTATAAATGAAACAATAAAATTAAATTTCAAATTACTTACATTGTTTGCTGAAAGGGAAAGATTGCAGAACTTGGCCTCCACTTCTCTTTTAGTTAGCTTTTCAGTCTGCAGTAACACAAATAATTGTAACAGGTTCATTGATATTTCTTTATTCTTGATTTTTTTTAAAAATCCTGCAAATGTTAAAAGTGGTTTCCATTCTAACACATACGGTACTTGTTCACGAATTGCAGGCTAATCATTAGTGAAATTATAGGTAAATATGATTAATGCTACTAATTACCCTAAATTTGATTTCATGTAAGATCTCCCAACTTTATCTTGACCTTGGAGGAATGTCAAAATAAAACCTCCACTTGATACTATTTGTCAACTATCATGCCACTTTAAAAATGAATGCATAACTATTCATATGAGAATGAGTGCATGTTCAAGCATTCATTGCAATGAAAGAGACAAATGCAAGCAACCTATGGCTGAGTCTGCTTAGCAGTGAACATATCAAGATCTAGGAATCCCCAAGAACAGTACTTTCTACAGGGCTAAACATAGTTCTGGTGCATCACGCTACTTCTGGTTCTTCTTTTATTCCCCCCTGCATCCTCCACTATATCTATTATTCTTTCTGGCACCAATTTCACATTATAAGATGGTTAAATTGACATGTCTTTCCGTCCCTTTCCTTTAATTCTTAAAGATTTTGAAAGCTACAGAAAAAAAAAAGATGTCACATGCAATATTTCCATTTCTCCTGTAGTGAAGAAAAAGGTAAACAGAGGGCCTCTACTCTCTTTAACTCTATTTTAAAATCATACAACACAAGCATCCAACGTATGGAACTGAATCTCCAGCCATTGCCAAGTTTAGCAGCACCATAGCTTTTTAGTAGGCTCATGACAAGTAGAATGATTGCACCATTGCCTAATTGCAATAGAAATATTTTACTCCGTATCCAACAGGGCTGTTCTGATGCAACTTGAAATATTTCTCTTAGAATGCCCCAGGAAACAATGGATGCATGATCCAGATTTTTCAAAGTTTGCCCTTCATTCATTTCCACCTTTTTGTTTTGCTTTGCTTTTTATTCCCTTCCTACAATTCCTTTCCCTTAGCTACAAAAATCTAAACAAGCAACAGATGGCGATAAAGAGCAGGACATTTCTGTATCTCTCTGTTGTCATTTAATTGGTATCCAGTTTTTTCAGTCCAGTTGTAGGACGGGACATGGAGACAGTCAACGTGCATGCAGGAATAAGACCAACTTGGCTGTTCTGTTCAAAGAGTCTATGTGGTGGTGAGGCTGAAGATATGGGCAAGGAAGAGGTAGGTAAGGCAAAACAAATACTACAGCTGCAGTCTGATGTAACTTTCCAAGCATGTTCCCTTTATTTACAGAGAAGTTAATGTTGCCATGACCTGCTAGTTAAAAAAAAGTCTGTGTATGTATGGGGAATAAAATAGAAAATGTTGTCCATGTAGGTGAGAGAAAGTGTATGTGTATTTGGAAGGACAGTATGTATTTCATTACTGAGCATTTTTTTACTCTTGTAGAGGCTTTTTAGTGTGTTTCATTGTAAAAGAAATAGATCTTTGCTCTCTTTTTCTGGTCATTGTCCTTCTAAAGCAGGGGTGTCAAACTGGCAGCCTGTGGGCTGGATGCGTCATGTGCAGGCCACACCTACCCCAGCTCCGCGAAGGGAAAAAACATCACAAGACATCACATGTTGGCAACATAACGCTGCGAGCTTGACTCCCATGTTCTAAAGGGTATTTTAATGGCCACACATTTTTTCCTCTTTTTTTTATGAGGCTAATGAACAGCTACTCTTCCTGTTCTGTTTAAACATCCTTCCTTCGTTGACAAAGGTACCGTCGGCCCATCCTGTAATCCACAACATAAAAATGCAATTCAAGAACAACATAATGCCTTACCACAGCATCGTACAGGATTGTGTAAACTTGATTGAGCTTATCTTCAGTGATCCCACAATGCAGAAGGATTGCTTTCAGCAAGGCAGTATGATTTAAGTAGATACTATAATTTCTTTCCTAAAACACAAATGCATTTCAGTTGCATTTCCATTACTTTTTAATGACAACGAAACCTAAATGTCAGTATCCAATATTTCTTCTCCTATCCCACCTCTTTTGTGTTATATCACTACTGAGGCTACCTACACTGAGAGAATCTTACTTGACAATGAATTTAATTCATAAATGAAGAATCTGAAGGCCCGTGAATCCACAGAGGCTCTTCTGGAATACAAGCTTCCCTCTCAACAATATTCTGGGATAACACAAAGCTTCTGAATTGGATTTCATTAATGTATTATATTTAATTCAATTTAACGGAATTTAATCAATGAATGAGATTTAATCCAATTGCATTGGATTTCATTAATGAAAAATATCCTTATGGCCGGATAAGAGTTATTAAGCCAAGCATCTCCTATATCAATAATTATAAGTCAGCAATAAATCACTACTTTTTGGAGTAATATTGCATATTATATTATATCAATATTGGGGCCTTTATTATACAATTATAGCACTCACTTTTTTACTAGTCACATCAATGTATTTTCTGTTTTTTCTTGCTTGTTTTATTGTTTTATTATTTTATTTCTTCATTTTTGTTTATACTTGTGAGCCATCTACAGTAGTCCCATGGTGAGACAGGTGGCAAATAAATTTAATAATACGAATGATGATTTGTTTCCACCTACTCGGAATAGGAACACAGAAGGAACCAGGTCATACGTCTGCTAGTCTTCTTAGCAAATAGAAGGAGTTAAATCCTGAATTCTCACATAGGAAGTGAAGAAAATAACATTCCCACCTCTGGCCCAATACCTTTTGGAAAGGCCAAGGCAGAAAAACACCTACTTGCAGCACAGGAAATTCCTGGATTATTTCACAGATTGTGTAGATGGTTTCTGCAATAGGTAAAAAACTATTTCCAGTAGGTGTGATGATATCAAATGCACATTCTAAGAGTTCTCTTGGATGACAACGATCTAGTTTCCGAGGCCTGAAAACTCGCTCAATGCAGTATCTAGAGAGATAAAAGTGTGCAGTTGAAACACCTGAAACCATCTTCTGTGGTAGTGTACATTAATCAATCCGTCCAGTTTTATCTACTCCAATTGGCCATGATTTCCCAAAGCATATTTCCCATTCTTTAGACTTGTTAAGCTCCCATAATTCCCCTGTATTTGGGGACATGGTTTAATTATCAAACTTTGATAATGTATGCAGCTTGGCCCTCAACAATTCCGGATGGTTTGCAAGAAAGATGTTTCAAAAACATTGATTAAAAAAAAAGAAGATAAAAGGTAAGATTGACAGAAAGGATCAGTATGAAGCGAGGGTTCTCACTCTCGCTCACAAAAAGCCTGAGCAAAGAGCCAGGATTTTATGGCCGTTCTAATCAACAGCAAAGTGGGGCATCACTTACATCTTGGAAGAACCTCCTTCCAAAAGGCATGTGCTGCTACAGAGAAAGTGTGTTTCTGGGATCCCAAGAGATGACGAAGTTTAATTGAATGATCCTGAAGTGCACCAACCATGTAAGATCAAATAAGTCAGATAGATACTACGGGAGACAGATAGCCACTCAGGTCCTATGCCATATATTGTAGGGCATTACAGGTAATGTTCAGCATCTTGAATCATGTTCAGAAGCAAACAGGCAATTAATGCAGCTTGCAAAGCAGAAGTTTTGCATGGGTTTATTGAAGCACCTTATCACTGCCTGCATCACCAGTTGAAACTTTTGGGTGGTGTCTAAGGGCAGCCTCAAGTACACCATACTTCAATAGTCAAGCCATCAGGTAACCAGGCATGAGATTCTATCTGAAAGGCCCACAATGACAATGAATGATGGGGATTGTGCTCCAATATACCTAAGGTGTATTATGTTGGGATAGATTGCTTCAAGGGCCCTAAATAAGGATATATTACTGAAGATTCCTTTTAACTGCAGATGCCAGGAAATTCCATTCAAAATATGTGGCTTTCGGTAAACTTTGGTCCCTCTTCTAAGCCAGCTTTATTTTACAGAAGTACAATGCATAAACAATCCATCTTTGTCCAGTTTTGAAAACAAAAAAATGTATACCTGGGAGATTTCCCTTACCTTTTCAAGTTTGTTATATTATTTCTAGCTACAAATCTAGCAAATGGAATCTGAAATGAGATATAAAAGCAGGTTATAAACTGAAAAAAAGCAGTATAAAGCAAAATATAATTTTTATGGTTATCAATAGCAATCCTTAAGTGAAAATATAGTTTATAACATAAAGAAACCAAGATGTTTTACTCAGCATGTAAGCTTATCTTCCTATCGAACATGGAATTATACTGACATTTCTTTTCTTCCTTCCCAATGCATCGTGTTGTGCAAGCTCTTTAAATCAGTTTCTAATCCACAGTAGCTGATTTGCCCATACTGCTTGAGAACTACAGAAGATGGCAAGGCCAGTCCAAGATCCTTGAAGATGATATTCATACTCACTCTGAGATCATAAGGAAGCATCACCAGCATTCCACTGTGGTCCATCAAATATGAAGCTTCATTGTGCTCATACAGTTTTCTATTCCTAGGCATCAGCAGGGGAGTATGCATCTTGACAGCTCCTATGCAAAAATGATAACAACAGTATAATTTCATTGAACAAATATAAAATATTTTTAAAGAAATTGTTTCAGTATTCACTTAACGTTCTCATTCTCACTTTTCAAATAAAGTATGTGTTTACGACTTGTTTCAAGTAGAGACATTTGAACTTCTGTGTATATTTGTTCAATGTTTCAATAAATCTAATTATATATAGCTGAAAACTCCAGTTAGTAGGCATATACTGTAAATATAATACTGAATATGCCTGACATTAATTCAAGAACAAGGTATGGAAGGTACCAGAAGTACAGTACCTATTTCTGTTGTCAGAATAATAATGCTGCATATCTCTCTTATAAAAATATTTCAGCCTAATTCAAGAATATCTATATAAGCATACATACCATGTCTTTTAAAAATTCGGCTAATTGTCTCACACACATGTTGTTGAATCTTGGTTGACCAAACTGTAAAGCTGCCCTAAAATTAACAGTGATCAGAGGTAAGCAATGCATTTTCCCCTTCAGTTACAAAAATAGAGAGTGCATCTAAACTATGAGCAGAAGATTTATATTCATTGAGCTTAACATACTGTACTAATTAGCAAATATATTTTCAGTAAATATTTGCAGTTTCAAATTATCAAAGGAGGTTTCTATTCCCAAAAAAGGAATACTGAGTAATGTTTATTTGTTTCTTTCCCTTCATTAGCTTTTGAGAGTTTATATGCTTGAAATCTGTTTTTCATGCCTGCAATTTACTCCTACATTCCACCTAAACTCACAAATTAATACAGAGGACTTTGAAAACAGTGCTTGACTAGGCATTCCAATGCTTGTATTTTATTTGCACACGCTAAACTGTGTTTTCCTGATCTGCAGGAAATAGGATCCTAGGATTTTTTATTAACTTTTTTTAAAATGTGAAATACATTTCTGCAATGAATGTGTGCCATGTTTTGATTTTTTTAAAAAGCTATTAGTTATAATAAATGGCAGTATAATGTTTAAATATACCTCAGAAATTCTGCCTTGAAAGGACTCAAGATTGAAAAGGAAGCACAATCTACTGTATGTGAGTTGGGCAGCATAAAAGTTTAATAAATTATTAAAGGAAAAGGAAAAGTTCCCCTCCCACAGATGTGCTAGTCATTCCCAACTCTAGGGGGCAGTGCTCATCTCAGTTTCAAAGCGAAAGAGTTAGCGCTGTCCGAAGGCATCTCCGTGATCATGTGGCCAGCATGACTAGATGCTGAAGGCACACGGAGCGCTGTTACCTTCCCACCAAAGGTGGTCCCTATTTTTCTATTTGTATTTTTACATGCTTTCGAACTGCTAGGCTACCAGAAGCTGGGACAAGTAATGGGAGCTCACTCTGTTACGCAGTGCTAGGGAATCAAACCACTGAACTCCTGACCTTTCTGATAAACAAGTTCAGCATCTTAGCCACTGAGCCACCACGTTCCTCTAATAAATTATTATTAAGCAAAAATAGATCAGGTTGGCCATAACTCTCGTCAATCTTCTGTAAGGCTTAAAGACCTGATTTGTCACTAGGCCTAAGATGGGGTTGAGCATTGCCTATGTTAATTGTTATAGGTGGGTCAGTTTTTACTTTGGCTTTTGTTGTGTGTATGATTTTTTCCTTTTCTATATTTTTAACATGGTTAGAGTCATTAATTAGGGATGGGCAGCCCTATAAACTGAGTAATAAAACAAAATTATTACCGTATTTTTCAGAGTATAAGACGCACCGGAGTATAAGATGCAGCAAGGTTTTGAAGAGGGGAAAAAAGTTTTTGCACTCTGCAAATCTCCCAAAAACGGCCCATTTTTGCGAAAAACTGGCTGTTGTTTTTTTTTCTTCTTCAAAAAAAGGGCATGAATAACCCTTATGAGGCTTGTAGAGTGCTCCTGGGGGGTGGCCCCCCTAAAAACGAGCAAAAAATGGCCTGTTTTTGCAAAAACGGGCCCATTTTTTGTCAAAAAAAGGGGCATGGATAGCCTTTAGGAAGTTTATAGAATGCTGCTGGGGGCTGGGAGGGCAAAAACCGGGCCATTTTTCACTTATTTCTGTCCTCTCCAGCCCCCAGGAGCTTTCTGAAAGCCTTCTAAAAGCTATGCACGGCCATTTTGGTGAAGGGGGGAAGCAAAAAATGCTGTATGCAGTGTATAAGACGCACCCAGATTTTCAGCCTCTTTTTTGATGGAAAAAGGTGCATCTTATACTGCGAAAAATGCGGTATTACGGCTTCAAAAGTAAATGAAAAGTGTTTATAAGACATAACAGGAAGCCACAGAGCAGCAACCAAAACAACCACTAGCACTTTCTTCCCCTGCCAATTTTCATACTTTGTGTATGAAAGTACTACACTGGAAGCATTAGAATTAGTCAAAGCAATATTTCCCAATGCTTTTCATTTTTCTTCCCCATTAGTCCCCCGCTTTTCTTTTTCTGTTTGTTGTTTCTTGTTCTGTTATTATTTTAAAAGCAATAAAATAAGATTCCAATCATATCTAAGTTGCTGTTTTTTTCAATGCAGACTTAAGAACACACCTTGAGGATATCACTGTCATAGGTATAATCTATTCCTGGAGAAATGCGCTGGGAGAATATTTGGTCCATCATGGTCCGGTATGATTTTCCGTCCACATTTGCTAAAGTATGATGAAGGACTTCATGAAGTTCAGACTCTTCCAACTGAGGAGGTGGAAGATGTTCACTTTTTAAGAGCTCCATAGCAGTTGGCCGTTTTGAAGGATCGTGGTTCAATAGCCAAGCAATCACCAGTTTCTAGAAAGCCAAAATATATGGTGACATTTTAAATTTATAAATCAAAGAGTTTTCTTTCTAACTTCTATCTTTAGATCTGTCTTCCTGGTTATAAACAATCAATATATATCATATTTGCAGCTATTGTCAGAAAATACAAAAATATGGAATAATCTTTCAGTCATGCTAATAAAATCTGTAAACTGTATAATATTCCAGTCATTTTTAGAAAATATTACTTCAATATTACTTTCTAAATATTCATTTTGTTTCAAGGAACTAGATTACTTTGATACATATTATTTAATTCTAATGGGTCAAACAGACATTGATTATATATTTTGTTATTTGCAAAGTCATATCCGATCCATCGTGATCCCAGGGACAACGTTCTTCCAGGCCTTCCTGTCCTCTACCATCCTCTGGAGTCAGTTTAAGCTCATGCCTACTGCTTTGGTGACTCCATCCAGCCACTTCATTCTCTGTTGTCCCCTTCTTCTTTTGCCCTCAATCTTTCCCAGCATTGAAGATCCAGGTCACGAATAAGGTCAAGTATGTAAGGATATATTTGACAGCAAAATGTAATACACTTAAAGAGAACAATTACCATAAACTTAAACAACAGATTGCGACAGATTTGGCAAAACAGGGAAATTGCCAACTATTAATAATAGAGAGAATATCAACAATCAAGATGAACATATTACCAAGGATTGTATATTTGTTCCAGACAATTCCAATTAGATTAGGGAAATATTATTTTGACAATTTAAACAAATTAGTGTTGAAGTATATTTGGCAGGGAAAATAAGCGAGAATAAAACTAAAATTGTTACAAGATACTAGAATAAGAGGAGGATTTGGTCTACCTAACTGGGAATTATATTATCAGGCAACAAGTTTGATGTGGGTCAAGGAATGGATAACATTAAGAAATTCTAGATTATTGACTGTAGAAGGACACGATTTGTTGTTGGGATGACACGCTTTCCTATGGTACAAGGGAACTAAAACGCGGGGGTATTTTATATTTTTAAATTTTTATTTCCATTCCATTCTATACAATCACATGTTTACTGTGCATAACCGGGGCATATAACATTGAATAATAAACACAGCCGTCACTTATATAGAAAATGCCCTCTACAATACAAGCCCAATATACCTCCTTGGCCCACCATACACCCTCTTTCAACCCCCTCCAACTTTCATTCTTCCTTCTTACATCCCCCTCTACTACCTACTTCCCCCCCCCTCTATCACTCCCTCTCTTAATCCAATCCCTCCCTTCCTTCTCTTCCTCCTCTCTCTCTCTCCTCCTCTCTCTCTCACCCTCTCCACTCTCCTTCTTCTTTCACTCAACTCCTCCCTTCGGTATACTTCTATTACCTTCCAATATATTCAGCTTGTTCTATTTTAACACTAACATTAAAAAGCCACAGAATACAAGTGGAATCATATACCTTAAAATT